TCCTCATGACCTCACCACTTCAGGAAGCGCCGATGGTGTAGACAGCTCTCAGTCTAGCCAATTGACCGCTAGAGTAACATGGAAGATGGGTGCCTTGGTCTTCTTCTTGAGCTACCTTCTTGCATCATTGGATTTCTAAAACAGAAGCCCCTTCCCTGATTCTTACAATGTTATTCCTTTCCCGTTTTCTTGCTACCACTCTGAGTATTTTCCTGTTCTCTGTAAAAACATGCTGTTGCTGAGCATTCAGGGACCTCCTGACGTTCTTGCCATTTCCTCTGGATGTGCACTCCTTTCCTTTAAGGGAAAGGCTAATTTCGAGAAGTTGAACCTACCATCTTATCAAAGGTAAACCTTATCATTGACCGACCCTCCCTTTGCATAAAGAGCAGCTCTAGTTGTTTATCACATAAACCTTGGTTGAAGAAGTATCTGTCTGATCTTACTGTAGAGCAGGGAGGTGACTTAGCAGGAAAGGTGGGCTTTGTACTGAGTTTTGAAGGTAATAGTAATTACTCAGTTATTCAGGAGAAAGGGAAGAGGAAGGAACACAGGAGCATTAACCGCAGGCTGAGGGAACTGTGAAGTCCTGGACACCAAAGAGAAGCAAGGCTCACTGAGGTTGGCTCTGTCTGGTGGTGACATGTACGATGGCACCTGTGCAGGGCTGACTGCAGAGATCTCAATCTGGTCCCAAGAGTCTTTGCAACATGTCAATAAGAAATCATTTATGGGCTGGAGGTTGGTGGTGCACGCCTTTAATCCCAGCACTCAGAAGGCAGATGCAGGTAGATCTTTGTGAGTTCAAGACCAGCCTGGTCTACAAGAGCTAGTTCCAGGACAGCCTCCAAAGCCACAGAGAAACCCTGTCTCGAAAAACAAACAAAAAAAAACCAACAACAAAAAAGAAAGAAATAATTTATGGATCATAAGCAGATGAGAGAGATATAATTTAATTAGTCTACTTCAATATTCATTGTGTAGCACACAAAAGAATGACCTAGAGAAAGCAAAACTGTAGGCAGCAAGAGCAAATAAAAAGACAGAGGGACTTTCCTGTAAAGTCTCAAAACCTTTAGATGCTGAATAAATAAAATGGGAAGCAAAGATGGCAAGAAAGCAATTTTGACCAAGAGTCCGGTGCTTAATATCCTCTAACATGAAGAGCTTGTGCAAACTGGCACCAGTGTGGAAAATAACAGAATATAGGTCTGCAAGTATATGTATGCAAACTGACACTAAAATGAGAATGTGAAGCTCCTTGTTTGCTAATCACAGAATGTCAGTTGAGCAGTAGAGTGACCTACTCTCCTATTTAATTAGTGAATAATTATATCAAGAATCACAAAGCACATAAACTCTACCCTATATTTCAAATAGGGGAATGTATCTTAAGAGAATAAACAAAACACAGAAAACATACACCAGAAGTGCTTAACAGTATAATTACAATGGAAAAGGGGGTGGGTAGTTAAAATATAATTGCCAATCACTGGTGGAAAGTTGCTTATCCATGAAAACTGAAGTTTTCATATCAGTATCTTCAGTTTGTTTTTATATACGTGATTTATACAGATTATCTGCGACCTTTTAGTGTTGAGACCTAAGCCTGAGTTCTGCCTCTGATTCTCAGTCAGCCACAGTCCTCCCATCCCCCGGAACCCCACAAACTTCACACTTGCTGGGGCTAGTCTGCATCTTCCCTGAAATCCACATTCAGCACCATAACTGAGTGCATGTAGTTTAGACACAGAGAGCTTGCTGCCTGTTTCAGCTGGTCACTGAACTGTGTGACTCAGTCTGCTTGTCCCGCTTCTTTGAGTTCTTTGTATGTGAAACAATTTCATGAGGTTGTGTTGAAAATATATGCTGAGTGGTAGAAGCCAGAAGCCTTGAACCAGACCAGTGACTCACTGCAATGAGCATTTAAGACGCAGGACTAACAGGTGTACCGCGTGACTCATTGGGCCACACTACAGCTTCCATGCACAATTTTTTATTTGTTTGTTTGTTTTACTTTTAACTTTTGTTATAGGGGGGAGGTTGCAAGGGCAGAGGGTAGAACTGAGGGAATGGGGAGATAGGTGGGACTGGGCTTCATGATATGAAGTCTACAAATAAACAATAAAAAGTTTACAAAAATAGAAAACATGTGCCTGTAATATTAGCTAAACAGCGCATATATGAGGGCATTTATTTTTGTTATAGATGCCAACCTCACGAAAACCTTCCATCATATCATGCCCCAGCTGCACTTCTCAATTCTACCTTCTCCTGACTATAGGGAATCTTAGTCGTTCTTGAAAACAATATCATGTATAAATACTGTCTTGTTCTATATCTCTGTTTTTAGACCTTGACAGAAGAATCTTCTGAAAAAGCCTAGTTTTCCTGCTACTGACTCTTGCCTACAATGTCTGATTTTTAAGGAATCTATAGTATGTCTACGTCTATATTGCTGTAGATACACACACACACACTATTCTGTAAGAACTATTTCATTATTGATTGCTACATTACTAAGGTTCGCTCACCAATGTCCCTACAGTCAGAGCTCACTTTTGCTATGTCGAAAGCTATGTGCTTTCTCCGCATTCTCCCACTATTCAATTTGCTTATCATCTTAATTCTGTTGGCATTTACTTTATTTGTTCATTTGGTGACCTTAGACATTTCAGAATTTTGGGTGAGCAAAAACAATTACAGTGAGCAAACTGGGCAGAAACTGAATTACAGCAATTCTGAATCAGAATAGACTCAGGATGCTGGCTGCACACATCACAGTCCAGTGCTCACAGTCCAGCAGGAACTCAGAAACTCTGCAGAGATGACTACCTGCTGGACAACAACTGTGCTACAGTGTATCATGATTACAGCTTGCAGCTTATGCAACTGGGAATTAGGATCTTTGCCATCTCCTGGCATCAGTGTTTTAGTGAGTTAGCTAAATGGACTAATTTGAATTATCCACTGTCAACTTTCCATTTGGAATAAAAGTCCTTTCTTTTTATAGCTCTGCTTTATGCTTAAGAATAAAAATAATGAAAAGGAAAATTTCAAATTTTATGATGGAGAGTTTGAGAGAGTCTTAAATTCCTTCCTACTTATTATTATTGCTTTTGTGGCCCTATGACAGATACAGTGATCTAAGCCCTAAATCCATTACAGAACATTCAATAAATGCAGGCATATAAAGTACTCTGTCATCTGAAGTCATTTCAAACTGCATTCAATATCTTGCTTCCCAAGTGCATTAGCTTTTATTAAAAGCATTCTGCTGTGACATCCACTCTTCCTAATTGGTTTACAGATTGTCCCCACCATTCGGGCAATCTTAATTGCATTTTCCCACAGCTAGTTTGATTTATGGGTCCTTGTTTGCCTTATTTTATTTATAATAAATCAGAGTAGAAATCTTAAGACATAAAATAAAATTTACAGTATTTCCTCTTTCACAAACATAGAACTTACCTAAGAATTGTTAACAATATTTTTATATGCTTTGGAAGTGGCTTAGTCCAGCATTCATCTTCTGTGTGGTCTCTGGTAATAATACCAGCGTTCTCTTTCCAGAGCCATACCTTTTTACCTGGTGTTGACTAGGCACTGAGAACTATTTGGGATGGAATGCATGTAGGTTATAAAATATACTATGTTTCTTCATAAAGGATGTATAGAGAGAGAAAGAGAGAGACAGACAGAGAGACAGAGACAGAGAAAGAATATCTGTTTTAAAAAAAAGTATTATCTAAGAATATAGTGAGAGCATCCATCTACTGCACTAGGAGATCTAATTAAAATGTTCTATTTGTTTTTATAAACTTCAATTTTAAGATAACAAGAATTCATTTGAAATGTTCATAGCAGAAATGAAAAAGTTAAAATGCTTTTAAAAGTCAAAATAAGTGAACAGTAGTAAAATGAAGCCAGAAGATGACAGATACTGAAGGAAATGTCTCCTATTGTTGAATGATTGCATATTAACACAGGTTACTTGTAAAATCCTCTTCAAACATAGACCTTCCATGGACCCTCAGGCATGGGTCATTCCTGTGGGGAGTACATGGAAATTTGTGGGAAGGAAGAACTGTAAGTTGTCTGTATCAATTTATAAAAAGCCTTCTAGGCTTCCTTAGAGTTAAATGTGTTCATTCCTTCAAATATTTGAACAGTTAGAATTTGAGTTCAGAATCAAAAAGATTGCGGTATGTTTAGTAGAAGAGACAAAAGGGGAAAAGGAAATTATTTTAAAATAAACACAAGCCTTTAATCCCAGCACTCGGGAGGCAGAGGCAGGCGGATGTCTGTGAGTTCAAGGCCAGGCTGGACCAACAGCCTCCAAAACAATACAGAGAAACCCTGTCTCGGAAAAACCAAAAAATAAAATAAAATAAAATAAAATAAATACAAATCAAAGGGGAAAAGTGATTGAAAGCAAAGATGATTCCAAACAAATGAAGATAACCTTACTGCACAAACAGTTAACTTCCACAAAAATTAAAACCCCAGTGGAGAGGCAGACATTACCGTACTGTCCAGTGGGAGTGAGGCCAGCCCACTATGTATGGTGCTGGGAATGGAGCACCACTTACTCCCAAGTCAGGGAGCTATGATGGGCTTCATGGACACCAGAGCCCACTCCCTTTCTTAGTACAAATAGGAAGTCCTTTCCTCTGACCCCAGTTTATAAATAATGAACTCTATACCACACCCCTGCAGAGACAGTTTTAAAAAAGGCTTAAAATACACTCTTTTCAGGTCGGGGCTATAGTTCGGTAGTAGAGTACTTGTCTAGCTGTTGTGTGACTTTTCAAGGGTACACATATGCAAATGTCTGTTCACTGCTCACAGGACACTGACAACAGAAAAAAAGAAACAATTCTGCCTATGTCTGGCTTTGTGGACCATTGAATTCATTAAAAGTTGTATATAGGAGCAAGGGAGAACTTAAAGGCAGCTGCATCAAAGAAAAGCCCACCCCCACACGGGAGACAACTCACCAAAAGCTCCTCCTCTGGCGGCTGTTTATGGCTTGTGTTAAGTATAAATTGGGGCGGGACTTCCTGAGTCTTCTCACATTCTTGAGTTCTTGTAATTTTATGAGTTTCAAGAGCCTCTCTCCTCTCCAGGATGAAAGTAGCCACACTGCACTAGTATGCAAGAGGGGTGTGGGTGTCAGAAGGGGAAGAAATAGAAGAGAGGAGAAGAAAAGAAATTCAGTTTCATTATGTAAAGTTGCTAAATGTTTATATCACACCCAAACTCGGCAAGACCTCAAGGTGAAAGGAAATATGCAATCGATAAATATCACTGTTGAATCAACAGAAAAGTTAGATATGTGTTGTTTTTTAAAAATTACCCACCCATTGCTGAGAATGCTTTGGTGAAATGAAAAGAATAGAAACATAGAAAGTCCCAACCAAAAAATTAAAAAGAGATGGGTTCACGAGCAAAGTAGAAAGAACAAGGGGAAGAATCTACAAGCACAAAATTAAGTGGCAGAAATCATCCAACGTGAGCAACAGTGATGCCGGCCTTGATGAACAATAAAAATGCACAGACCTGTGTCTTCAGAATATAAAAGAGAGAAAAAAGGGTCATGTCTGAAAAGGCATCCTATACAAACCTTCCAAAGTTATTGAGAGAACAATAATCTACAGATTCATAGAGCTGAAATTTTCTAACAGGTAATGCAAACCAAGGTGTAGCCGGAAGTTCTGAAAGCTAAAGACCAGGAATCAGCAGTGGGGCACTTAGGAAACAGTTAGACATTCTGAAGGACAATGAACTTGTCTCCAGCAGCCACAGGGGCAGCGGAAGCAGAGCTGTTTCTCAAGGTCTAAAAGAAAGAGCTGTGCGTTGCAAATGCTGTAACCTGCTGAAATAATGTTTGTGAATGTAGAAACCAGGTCATTCTCAGATGACTGAAAACTAAGAGAGTGTGTTCTCAGCATTTCTATCCTGAAAGAATGTCCAAGAGAGTTCTCTAACTGAAAGGAAGCATGAAGGAAAGAATTGGGACATGTGGGCGGAAGGACACGATGAGATGTAAGTACAAAGGATAGCTTAAGCACCAAGGTTGAGAGGAAGTGGGGTTGTCTGGAAGAAAATAATCCATGCCCAACAGCCCGGGTTGTAGGCTTTTCTTGGAAGAGCGTTGTCTCCAACTTTCCATCTCGAGAATGGAAAATTATGTTTGGCAGTTGAAAAAGAGATCATAAAAGTCTCTGGTGTGGCTCTTAAGCATGTAGAAAGAGAAATCTAATGTAACATGACAAATGAAAGACCCAGAGACTGATATTGGGATTCAATCTTCAAGCTGATGATCAGAGAAGCAAAGCAGCCAAGCCAGTAGATCTTACCTCTTCCCAGTTGAAATAGCAATCCTGTCTCCACAAATCCTCAGAGTTGAAAGCTCTCATTCCCTGTCTCCTCCTGCTTTATATTCCTCTCTCTGCCCAGCCATGTCACTCCTGTCCCCACCTCCCGAGTGCTGGGATTAAAGGCCTGTGATCCCAAGTGCTGAGATCACCTTTGTGTGGGCTGTTTCTTTTAGGACTGGATCAATGCCATGTAGCCAGTGTGGCCTTGAGCCAACAGACGTCCATCTACCTCTTAGTCCTGAGTCCTGGGATTAAAGGTGTGTGTCACCACTGCTCAGCCTCTATAGCTAACTAGTGTGGCTGCTGGGATTAAAGGTGTGTATTGCCACTTCTTGACCCCTATAGCTTGTGGCTGGCTTTGCTTTCTGTACCCTCAGGCGAGCTTTAATAAATTATAATATATCACCGCAATCTAGGAAATTATGAATAGCTAGTAAGAGAACATGTAAAGATATAAGATGTTGATGCTGTGCATCATAAAGCAAACCTCAACAAACTTAAAAGTCGTCCAAATACATCTAGATAATACACAGGAGTCTGGGACCATCACTGGACTGTGAAAATCATGTTACCTAACAGACCTGAAAGTTCTCACTAAAGTGCTAGGAAAGTCGGAGAAATGTGTACCAACATTGAAAAAGAGGGTAAATCTCCAATCCATCGTCTAAGCTTCCATAAAAAAAAGAACCAGAAAGATAATTGCAAATCAAGTAGGAAAAACAGAAATAAACACAAATTAAAGTGAAAACACAAACTATAGAGTAAACATTGAGGCAAAAAAATGAGTCTCCATAGAGAGACAGTAAACATCTATATACTGACAACAAAAGAGATGCAAATTGCCAAGTATCAGAAGTGAACTATGGATGTCATTACATATCCCATAGGCATGAGACACATGCTAGCAGATCATTTTCATAATCTACTTGAAATGGGCAAATCCCTCAAAAATATGATCCACCATAATTCACCCAATAGGAAACATGATTTAAATAGCTGGGCAACGTAAGGAAACAGAAATTACATTTCCCAAATCTCAAACCTTCATTATCAAAATAACAAAAGAAGATCACTTAAACATACAAATAATGTAGAAAAAAATTCCTATTTGTGAAATGGGAAACTACATGAAGAATACATGAGGCTTATGTAATATTTCCTCCAAGAGCATGGGGATCAACAGTTATGTCAAGAAAAAGTCAAATAAGAGAAATAAAGTAAATGAGACTCATGCTGCCCACTTGTCCAAAGGTTCCGGTAATAGTGAACACATCTATACACTCTAACAATTCCCGGGCACCACAACACTGTCACTCCCAATAAATGTGTGTTTGTGCTTTCATGACACCTTGCTTTGGCCAAGTTTTCTCTTTTTAGATTTTAGTCTATCACTTTTTCTGATGGTGTTAAAATGATGTCATGTTGGGACATGATAAACTTTTCTTTTTCTTTTAAGTAAAGTTTTGGCAAAAAGAAAGAGAGAGAAAAGAAAGAAAGACAGACAGACAGACAGACAGAAAGAAAGAAAGGTAGTCCTCAATCAACTCACCAAATTCAATACTCGTACAGCATCTCTGCTCAGGGGTCTCAGCTATGCAGTTCCAGTGAGACAGAAAACAGTCTCTTCTGTGTCCAGCTCATGGCTCAGAAATCTCTACAATGTAGCTGCCTCCTAAACTCTACCAAGGGCCAGGTCCTCCATTTCAGTATTCTGTTAAATTCCTATTCCTTAATACTCCACGATTTCAAATACTGACTTGTATATATGGACTAGAGACATAGTATCCGTCCTAGATTTTATATGTACTGTATCAAATTGTTATAGATGTTAATATATGTCTTAAAATTGAAGTTTTAACAGTAACATTATAAATTAATTTAACATAAAATTAAGCTTATTTGCCAATTTGTCCTTACTGCTAGGGAAAAATTGTGATTCTTTAAAAGTAGTACATGAAATAACTGGTAGTTACCTTTTTGTAGCAAGTAAGAAAGATGAGCATGTTTTGTCTGTCTGTACTGTAATAATTCAGTAGGCTGCAATTTTATAAATAGGTTATTTAGCATTCAATTTTATAACTTAGTGGGTTAGTTCGGATATACATTATGAGGATTTAAAAGATAACACTCAGCATGAATAATTCTACAGAAAGTGATTTCTTTTTAATGAAGAATGAAGTTTGGGAAGAGACTTTCTCACACAATTTATTCTAATATTGTTTCCTGGTGAATTGCAAATGCATCCTATATGCATACATAATAGGTCACCTTTCTTCTTTATAAAATCCCTAACGTACAATTCATTTTATATCATAGTCTATAGTCTTGTTGTTAATATTTATAACATAGGCCATCATTTTTTACACACGGAATGAGACAGAGACTTTAAAGGAAATACTTTACATTTATTGTGTCATGATCCTCCAACAACATATGTCAGACCTGAGTGTCACAATTATTAGAAATGTAACCACTTCTAACACTCTCAACTCCAGTGTGTGTTCTTTAAAGTCTGGTTTCCCTTTTCCCCCCAATAGGTTGGTGTTAACCGGGAGATTTCTGTTGTCCCTGGTTAGGCAGTTTGGACTTTATTTCAAGCATACTTTATGCGAAGTTTGTTATTGTTAATACTGTTTTAAGCCTGTTTTAAAAGCTAAAGAGTATTTTTCCCTCCTTCAAGGTGCGAGGCCCTCCAGCAGCAGGGGCATTTAAAGAAAGGCCAACCAAGCCCACGGCATTCCGAAAATTTTATGAGCGTGGAGATTTCCCAATTGCCCTTGAGCATGACTCGAAAGGAAACAAAATTGCCTGGAAGGTAAGCCTGGGCACAGCTGTGACAGCCAGCTGCGCTTTCCGGAGTGACACCCCAATGCCAAACAAGCTTGGCTGCTAAGTAAATAAACGGGGGTAATTTCTCAGCAAAGGAGTGGTGGTGGGCAAGCTCTTAGGGCCCCTGTGTCAGCTGTCCACCTTGACTAACAATTAAATTATAGCCCTCCAAGAAGAAAATGACAGAGTTGCTTTGCCTTAGAGAATTCTCTGCAGCCCAATTCATCTCTATTTTTATGAGAGCCTGGCAACCCGGCCTGTTTCCAGCAGTCCATCAAATGATGGACCTGGCGGCTGGATGCGGAGAGCAACAGCCATTTATCTCCCCCAGATTTCACCTTCCTGCAGGACACTTCCAAATGGAAGCTTTAATTACCTAAATGGATAGGTCAGGGCTGTGCGCTCCCTGGGAATGCAGAGTGGAATACACAAGAAGGTGGCGGCTCTATCCAGGTTCAGCGCTACCATGAGCTGGGACGAGGCTGTCATCTGTGCCTGTTAGAGGCTGACCTCGGCCAGCCAAGCCATTACAGCAACGGACACTTTCCCGACAAAAGGTTAATTGGCTTCAAAATAAATGTATTGCCTAATGACGCCATCTTAATGTGGCCGTGCGTCTTTTCAACAAAGGCTTGACGATGTGCCTTGTGAAAACAAGTCAGTCTAATGGGAGAAGGCTTTTACATTTAATTTGAGGAATGGATGCTCTCTGTAACCAAGTGTGCTATTTAATTATTTTTGTTATGAACAACTCTGCTTTGGGTGATATTTATCAGCTGAAAGGGCCTCTCCCCCTAAAAACAGCAAAGCTGCTGCAGGAGTAGGAGCATCACAGCAGGTTAAGGAAGACCAAAGGTTCGGCCAAACATGCTCAGTTGTGGCAGGCAACTAACACAGGAGCTGAAGAAGTCAGTGTCCGTGTCTCTGTCTGGGGGCGG